AACCTAAAATTCTTTAAAATTTTCACGTTAAAATAAAGAATTTCAACCAATTTATAAAAGATTTCATTATAATTAAAGAATTCCTTCAAATTTCTGATAATTACTATATTATTTATTGAATTTATTAATATTCATTTCGTTGAATTCGTTCAAAATTCTATTAAAATTCATTAAATTAACTTCGAATCGTTCAAAATTACAATAAATTTCCTGAAATATTATGTAAATCATCCCAGCTGGTGTATGTGAGGAAAACCGAAGCACTTGTAACTAGAGAAATTTGTCCTGTTGTCACTGTTAATACTGTTAAGGACCGAATGCCTATACTTCTGGAGGAGAACCAGGAAGAAGCATAGCAGCTCGAGGACTTGTTGGGAGCGGCTGTCGGGTTGCAGAGCATCATTCTGTGGCTCCAGTATGTTTACTGTCAGACACTAATCTTGACACATGCTTTACTAGGTAAGGAAGGACGGACAAATAGGAAGGGACCCAAAGTTACATACCTACTGTGTATAGCATCATTTCCGAAAGGCATACTTCTCTAGTGCTCAGGTGACCTGAACTAAAGCAATTGTGTTTGTATCTCTACATGGCAAAGCATCATTTCAACAGCGAACTTCACACTGAGTACAGTAATACATTGACACGGCCATTGTAGAGTATGTATTGAATGTTTTGGCTCTGGTAGTAGTTGCTGATTCATGCTGTTACAGCGTCTTTAGTACTTCAGGCTTCCTGCTCCTTACAGGTCTCAAGATTAGAGACTTGTGCTGTAGTTATACCACCACAAGTCACCTCCCGTTATTATTCACGTCGTATTTTTAAGGATTACAGTCTTAAAGAGCCTTTACGGGACTGCAGTCAACTCTCAAGGTTCAGGGTGTCCGGGATACGAGACCGTGATAGTTGGACATTAACCTTGTAAAATTATCTGCAGATTCTGATTACCAAAAAGTTAGTTTTTAAATTTTCTTTCAGGGTTTTACTTTCCCGCCGGAAGCAGGGTACCCTCTGGACCCCGACCTCGGGCCCAAATACTTCATGATGGAGACACATTACAATAATTCGGTTCACAGTGCTGATAACACAGGCACTTCCGGTATGCGTGTTTACTACACAGCATCACTGCGACGTCACGACGCTGGAGTTCTGTCAGTAGGGATGGATCCTAACTGGCGTCACATCATCCCTCCTGGACAGCCGGAAGTCGTGTCAGAGGGGCACTGCATATCGACTTGCACATGGCAAGCATTTCCTCCGCGAGGGATCAAAGTGTTCGCTGCTGCCCTGCATATGCATCTGATTGGTAAGAAAAAGTAACTTAAAGTTTATGAAATGTATTCTCTAGCATTGCCTTTTTATTCTCAAAACTTTTACTTTTTTTTTTAATTCGCTTAGTGGGGGGTGGAGTCCAACTGGGTCACTCGGCACGGCGGCCACTGATTGGCCTATTGTAGCCTACCCCGAGTGATTATGATGATGGAGAATTTGGTAATGGGCAGAATATGTAGAACGCATGAGAGAAAGAAGAAATGCATACAAGATAGCGGTCGATAAACTTGAATTAAAGAATCATTTGGCAAGTCCGAGCATATATAAAAGGACAATATTAAAACACAATTTAAAGGAAAAGGATATCTATGTGTGAGTGTGTGCGTGCGTGCGTGCGTGCGTGCGTGTGTGGACTGTATTAATCTGAGTCAGGATACAAGCCAGTGAGGGATTGGTGTGAACAAAAGTTGTGAGATTTTGAATTCCACTAATATCGAACGATCAGCCAATAATTATTAGCGGAACAAATGCGACCGGCAGGCGATAGTTTGGCCTAGTATGTTATGTAACGGCGAATGTCATTGGCGGTATCGAGGGTACATAACGTCAATGGTAGGATGATTAATGAGCATAGGGCAGTTGGGGAAATGAGAATTTGCAGGAGAAACGGAATAACTACTAGAAAATATTTCTCAGTGTTTTTCTTTCAACCACAAGTTTGGGAATCACTGACTTCAGACGTGCTGCTCACACAGGGGATTCCCTCAGATATAGAGTTATGTATCGCTTCGTCTTTCCCATATGATCATTATAATATTTTCTTTCCAACTATGTAATTCGCACCAAACGTCACGATCGAACGGTTAACAACCCTGCATAATATTTGGGAGGTCCCAGGTTCAAATTTGAGTCCTCAGGTCAGCTCTCCTCACATATATATTTCGTGGTATTCCTCAGTCCATCAGAGTAAATTACGAGATAATACTTCAAACTAATCCAGAAGCGCTTCTTTCTACACCCGTTCTAAATCAATATCTTCTAATGACTGTTAAATTAGAACCCGTAGAGACTGAGCTACTAAACCTTTTGTTAAATAAACCTTAAGCCGGTCACGGTAGCCGAGCGGTCTAAGGCATGTACTGTCTTCGCTCGCTTGGAAACCGGGATCGTGGGTTCGGATCTGTTTCCTGTGAGGTACGAACTGAATTCTTATATATTATTCTTATACACTGCCGGTCACGGTAGCCGAGCGGTCTAAGGCATGTACTGTCTTCGCTCGCTTGGAAACCGGGATCGTGGGTTCGAATCTGTTTCCTGTGAGGTACGAACTGAATTCTTATATATTATTCTTATACACTGCCGGTCACCGTAGCCGAGCGGTCTAAGGCATGTACTGTCTTCGCTCGCTTGGAAACCGGGATCGTGAGTTCGAATCCCACTCAGGGCATGGATGTTTAGTTTGTGTGTGTGTGTTTTTCTGTGTTTGTGTACAGGTAAAGGCTTTGCGACGAGCTGCTCACCCGCCCAAGGAGTCCTCCCGAATGTGTAAGATCTAGAAAAACCGAAGTGAACGGAGAAGTTCATGGAGGTAGGCCTAGGCCCACTGGGGCTGTAGTGCCAAGGGGGGGGGAGGGGGGAATTAACCCTAAACAAATAAGCAGAGGTGCCACTGTAACACGTTTCTAAGCCTTGGCATACCTCCCGATATAAGCAACTAACTAATAAATTGTCTAATTTGCTTGTTCAGAAGCCAATAGCTACTCAGGTTTCTAAGAAATTCATCGCTGTTTATGGAACCCAAAGTGTCACAATTTTGTTCACACGAACCCATCACTGGCCAGCCTCCTTACTTTCATCAATAAAGTCCACACACACACACACACACACACACACGCACGCACGCACATTCCGTTTCTTTAAAGTCACTTTTAATATTGTCCTTTCATGTACGCTCCGACTTGCCAAGTGATTTCTTGAATTCAAACTTATCGACTGCAGTTTTATATGCATTTCTTCTTCATCCCATGCGTTCTACATATCCTGTCCATTGCATTCTTCTTGAATTTATCTCCCAAATACTGCATGATGATGAGTATAAATTGGGAAGTTCTCGTTATGGAATTTCTCGAGCCTTCTATTACTTCCAAATACTCTCCTAGCGCCCTGTTCTCAAGCACCACGTCCCCTTAATTTGATGCATCAAGTCTCACAGCACTGAATAACTTTGACATGTTACAGAAACGGTTATTTCTGTCTTCCTCAGGTCGCAGGATACGCTTGCGGCAAATACGTAATGGAGTGGAGCTGCCACCGATTGCTGCAGACAACAATTATGATCCTGGTTACCAGGAGTACCGAAGGTTGCTGGAACCTGTTCAAGTGTACCGAGTAAGTGACGCTTATACAAATACAGTTTCATCTACATCGATATGAAACCGGCCTCTTTCTTTAAATGGAAAAACACAAATTGAGGGTGTTTGAGAACAGGGTGTTGAATTGCTATTTCGACTGTAGGGAGAATGAAACCTATTGTAGAAGTGGGTGACCATTTTTTCACTCTCTTTTACCTTTCTTTCTGCATAGTGAGCATCTGAACACAGTATTTTGTGTTTCTCTGCAGAATATTCACCTCGCCATAGGATTATACGTTTCTCTGCAGGATGTCCAACTGATCGCAGCGTTTGACATTTCTCTGCACGGTGTCTAGTTCTCTGTGTTACTCTGTAGGGTGATCATCTAATTACAAAGTTCTGTGTTTATCTGAATGATGATCAACTGGTCACATTTTTCTCCTTCCCTTCTGGGTGATCGCCTGACTGAAATGGTCTGTATTTCTCTTTAGGGTGCTCACCTGATTACGGAGTTCCGTGTTTCTCTGTAGGGTGATCACCTGATTAGAAAATTCTGTGTTTCTCTGCAGGGTGATCACTTGATTACAGAGTTTTGTGTTTCTCTGCAGGAATATCAACTGGTCACATTTTTGCACTTCCCTGCAAGGTGACCGCCTGACTGAAATGGTCTGTGTTTCTCTTTAGGGTGCTCACCTGATTACGGAGTTCCGTGTTTCTCTGTAGGGTGATCACCTGATTAGAAAATTCTGTGTTTTTCTGCAGGGTGATCACTTGATTACGGAGTTCTTTGTTTCTCTACAGGGTGATCACTTGATTACAGAGTTTTGTGTTTCTCTGCAGGAATATCAACTGGTCACATTTTTGCGTTTCCCTGCAAGGTGACCGCCTGACTGAAATGTTCCCTTTTTCTCTTTAGTGTGATCACCTGATTACGGAGTTTCGTGTTTCTCTGCGGGGTGATCAACTGGTCACATTTCTGTGCTTCCGTGTAGGATAGCCACCTGACTGAATTGTTCTGTGTTTCTCTTTAGGGTGATCACCTCATAGCACAGTGTGTATACAACAGCGAGGGACGCACCACAATCACCCTCGGCGGCCTGACGTCACGCGAGGAGATGTGTCTTGTGTTCGCAATGTACTACCCTCGGATTGACCTGTCTCTGTGCCACAGTTTGCCATCCCTGCCAACTGTGCTGCATTCTCTGGGCATTCAGGAACTCTGGCCGTGAGTGCTGTTTTGTTAGCAAATAGTATATAACCCTCGAATTCATTGTAGCGTTAATTAAGTTGCGTAAATATTTGCGGGAGTTGGAAAGAGTTTGTTTATATACATGGTAGCAGTGCAAGAGAACTGTTCTGGAACCAGACGTCTTCCTGACTTCCAATATTACGTAATATTTAGTGGCTTTTTTTTTTTGTTGATCATGTTGGTTCCATTTTAATATTTCTTCCATCATGTAATCCTTTATTCCACTTTTAAATTATTTTTATCAGAATGGTAAATATTTAACTGTGCTTCATATTTCAGTACCATTACAGTTGAACTTTACCTGCATTAAAATATTTGCTCGAGAATGCGGAAATTCTATTGTAACAGAATACAGGATATATTCCAGACTCAGTCATATAACATATATTCGTCACTGTTATTTAATATTTCGGTATAACCTTTCTTGTAGTATTACATATATTCACTCCATCGCGTGCTGTCAAAACCGCTTCTGTTTTCCACGCTTGAATTCCCTGAATAGTGAGAAACCTGAATATCTAAATTACATGAATTAGTAGCTAACACAAAATAACGTATTTCTTTTCAATTACAAAACCCTCCAGTTAGTTTAGTACCAAAAAAAAAACACATGTAGATATTGGGATAAACATGGAGAAAGGATATATCTGCAAATTGCAAGCGTTCTTATATGAGTGGTACACATAGTTACCGCTGTACTTTAAACAAGATAAATCCCTGCCATGATGCTTAGCATACCTATTCATGATCCCTTAATCTACACGATCATTAAGACTATAAATAGATTAGTGATTTCTTGCTTCATTTATCTTGATATAAGTTGTGACGTTAAAGTGGGAACCAATCTCTAGGGATTAGAATTTTAATGGATCTGTCCGCCTCTTCTTATACTGTGAAGAAAGTGTGAACAAAGTTTATTAGTGAAAGCGGCTTTTGATGAAGCGGAACTTAGTCAGTTTTCAAGAACTTTAGGTGTATATTTCATTCACTGTTAGGAGTAGATTACGTCTACCAAAGGCATATAAAACATGAGGAGGACTTTCCATAATTCTACATTTTATGTACAGTAACATATATTTAGATTATTTATGTATTTATTTGTTCTAACACGTTGTAAAAGTCAGATAATACTATCACGTATAAGAGTTAGCGTGACGAACAGTTAATGGGTTCTGGGGCAGATGAATCGATTTATTGGATCTTCACCAGTCGTAACTACTGAGTGTCCGGATGAAAGATATCCAAAATAAAATAATTATAGTATCTCAGAAAGCTTTTATTATACACATTTATGGGTTACACCACTACAAAGGGAAACTATCAGAGTTTTTTCTGAGTATATAACTTTCTCAGTAAATTTCAATGAGAGCTCCCTTGGTGGCACGACAAATATCCAGGCTTGAAGCATGTTTGGTGTTACCAGAGCCACAACGTCCCTTATGCGGGCTTTCAGGTGTTAAAGCTCGTTGATCTTAAGCCGGTAGACACTGTTCTTCACATAACCCCACAAGAAAAATCAAATGGGGTTAAATTTGATGACCTAGGAGGCCTAGCAAATGGTTCACCTCTGTCGATCCATCTCCCACTCAACTCTTTGTCCAGGTGATTCCTAACATGGTGGCAGAAATGTGGCGGCGCCTCGTCTTATAGAAGGAAAATTTGAGGTGATAATTGGTACAGCGCATACGGCTCCAGCATGTCGAAGTACGAACGTCCGGTCACAGTCTTTTCCGAAAAGAGAAACGGTCCACTGAACTTGTCGTGCATTAAGCCGGCCTACATAAGTTCACTTTGGGCCGCCCCTCTCCAGCTCACATGCGACATGTGGATTGTGACTGCCCCAAATCCTGCATCTGTTTACATTTCAACTGACACCGAACGTCGCCTCGCCAAAGAAGCAAACTTGGTGGAGGAAATCGGGCGACGTGTCAATTCTTCCTAACATGTCCACAGCGAAATTTGTGCATGCTACGCGGTCACCCGGTTTTAGTGCATGAATCATTTGAATCCTGTACGCTCTTAGGCGGAGCCTTTTGTATAGCACACCGTGCGCTGTTGAACGTGGAATTTGTATGTAACTGCAAGCTAACAACACGAATTGATTTGCGCGGACTTCGCTGGAATGCCTCTCTAATGCGATTGGCATTTACTTCAGAGGTCCCCTCCACAAGGGAAACCTAGAAAAGTAGTTAGTATGAAAGAATGATAAAAGAGAAAAGAATTGCCGGCATAACAACACTGAAAGTATTAAAGGAATGATAGAAATTAACAATTAAGTCAATCCTTCAAGGAGAAGAGAAGAGAGAAGCAATCTGTGAGGAATGTTGTGTCCGCTCTACGCTGTTGCCAAGTTTCCTCGGTCATTGAACGCGTTGTATAGAAATTTGGCCGCTACCTGTGCTGCTACGTTGCAGCAACGTACTGCTTAATGCTGTTTAGGGAAGTAATCCCTGTTTATTCTGATAATCGCATGCATGCCATGTTTAATTTCTAGTGATACACGAGTATTAGTTTAGAAAATGAACGGTTGCTGGAATTTGCTAGAAGTGTACATTTTACCCAATATTAAATTTTTTTACTCGAATTTTAATGTCGAGGCTGCTGCTTTTTTAATCAGTAAATTTTTATATCCTGTTGATTATATTATCGAAATCTCTAAAATCAACATTTATTCAATCATCCCATAATCTCACACGGACCATTATACACAACGTTGTGCATCTCAAATAGCAGAATCGTGGAATCATTTGTTTGTTTAAAATGTTTTCGTCATTTTGAATTAATTTTAATAAAGTTTACTTGTTAATAACGTATGTAAATGGTTGTAGGCTTTGCTACAAATTAAATGAATTATCCAGGATTTGTTTGGATTCCAGAATTTGCTTCAGGTATTTATATCTATTGGGATACCGCCAACACCCATCACCAAGACTACATTTTAATCCACATTCGACATTTCTGTGATGTGTTTAACTATGTTGCAGTGTCATAATACAGTCACGTGTTTCCTAGGAAATGCGACAGGAATTGTATGTCTCTGTTTAGATGAATGTGTTTATTGGTCAATTACTCGGGGGGGGGGCACGCGGTAGCGTAGTTGGTTGAGGCACTAAGCTACAAACCGGAAGGTCGTGAGACAAGTCCCGATGAGTTCATTGTATTTTTTCAGACTAATCCTTCCAGCCGCACTATAGCCCTGGGGTCGTCTCAGCCTCTAACAGAAATGAGTACCAAGAATTAATTAAATAATTTTCCTGGGGAGTAAAGCGCGGCCGGCGCGTAAGGCTGACAACCTTACCGCCATCTTTGAGCCGATTGTCTAGATAATGTGGGACCCTCAACGTCTCACAACCCTGTGCCTGTTACAGGGATAGCTTTACTTTTCTTTTCTGCACAATCACTCGGACTTATAACGCCTTCAGACCTTTCTTCTTCAAATGTTATACTCTCTTGCACCGCTATTTCGCTCGTTGCATCAGAACTATTCTTAGCTCTCGTCGGATCTAAACTGACCCGCTCCTCTGAACTGTTCTTCGCTTATATCCTACGCTCGGAAGGGACAGAGACCATCTTGTCGAACGGTTCAGTTTCGCTGCTGCTATACAAACAACTCTCTCGTTGCAACAGAAATACGTGTCTGCCTCAAACAATTCATTACTTAGCCATTGCTAGCCTCTTTGTAACGGTGGAAACCCCACTGTAAGGTTTTTATCTTGTTTAAGCCATTTCCTAGGCAACAGGCTACTTATATTGCGTTGCCTAGGAATCGCTAGCCGTTGACCAGTGATGGACCTCTTATCGTCCGGCCTTCTTGGCGGCACGTCATAATACATTAATTTGCTGCATGTTACAGTCTGTAGAATCCCTTTTGAAAGAGGCGTTACTCTCTGAGCTGCTAAAAAATTTATGTTTTTACATAATCTGAAATTCATCACCGTATTCAAAATGTCACTTGAATGTAGTTCATATCTAACTTCAATTTCTTTGAGATTATTTTCAATATTATTCTCTTACCTATGCATATATCTCCCGAGTTGTGTATTCTTTCATGATTTCCGATGGAAAACCTGTAAACCAATCACTCAGATATATCCTGCATGTTTTTGCAGCTGATGATCCTTGCCTTGACCACCCTAATGACATCTGGTGACGAGTACAACTCATGAAGACAATGTTTACAATATTCTCTTCTGCTTTCCTTTCCTTCCTTCGACTTAGTTGGAATATTTTCCTCAGCACTGTGTTCTAAACACCCTCAAATTCAAAGATAAACAATACCAAAGCATACACAACAAAAGTGAATGACATTAGAAAAGGAACACTGAAATAGCCAACAAAAAGATAGGATGAAATATTCTAGGAAGAAAATTAAAAACAAAACAAAAAAGATGTTCCTAAGGACACAGATAACAAATTGTACAGTGCCGTGGTCTCCACAATAATAAGTTTTCCTGATGATGGCCCATATGTGGCCGAAACATGTAGCAACAAAAACAACGAATGTATAGTTAATGACATTTTAAAATATGTAACGAACGCTTTTCTTATTTTCCTTGGCACTACAGCCCCAGTGGGCCTAGGCCTACCTCCATGAACTTCTCCGTTCACTTCGGTTTTTCTAGATCTTACACGTTCGGTAGGACTCCTTGGGAGGGTGATCAGCTCGTCGCAAGGCCTCTACCTGTACACAAACACAGAAAAACGCACACACACAAACTAAACATCCATGCCCCGAGTGGGATTCGAACCCACGATCCCGGTTTCCAAGCGAGCGAAGACAGTACATGCCTTAGACCGCTCGGCTACCGTGACCGGCTAAGAAACACTTGTAGTGAATCAAATATATTTTAGTGTCTTGTAAGAAAGATTAACTTTGTTGCATTTTAAAGGGGATACTTTACAATTAAAGAATGGTGACCCAGTACAACACTGCAGTGCATGTATAATATTATAGCACGTGGTTTAACGCATTTCCT